AGGTCTTTTCCAACCTAAATGATTCTATGATTCTAAGAGAGAAGACAAAAGCTGAACAGGGCATGGCTGCCCAGAGCTTATCAGGGCTGGAGAAGTGGACACTGTGGCACTGGTGATCAGGACTGGTGGTACAAGAGAGGATGGAGAAGCAGTGGAGTTGGCCTTACATGGCTGAAAAAGAGGTTTTCCAGGGAGAAAGGAATGAGGGAGAACCAGAAGTGGGGCTGGATGAGCAGAGACCCCCAGGAACAGGAGATCATAGGGGAGGGGAAGAGAACAGAGCAGAGGGGAGTGCAGTCTGGGATCGGAGACAAGTGGAGGGCATGAGAGGCAGAATAAAGACAAGCAGAAACAAAACTGAAATAGGTATCACTCACTGGCACACTGAAGAAAAAATACATTTAGTGATGGGCGCAGACAGCAGCATTCCTATCCCAAATAAAACCATAATTTAAAGACCAAATCTGACTCTAACCTTGAAATATGATTCAGCTCCAATCAACAGAAAAATCCCCTAATTAGCTGCAAAACATCTACCCAAACCCAAACAGATGAAGCCCTCCCTGCCAGCCTAGTTACTCTCAATTACAGCTCTTGAAAAAGCAAGCAGCTCACAGGTTTCCACACAGCTCCTGCACACAGGGGATTTGCGGGGCTCTGCCTAATCCATCCTCCACTGAGAGGAATAGGAAGGCAGGTCGTTTGCCTTCCCGGGTCTCTAAGGTAACTCTATAGGCGGCTGCTGCCACAGCACCTTGTGCCAGAGCATGCAGGAGAAACCAAGATGTGTGGTAAAAGGACAAGCAGCATATGTTTCGATGAGCCACACTCAGTGCACTGTATGATTTGCTTCATCTGCTTTGAGATGAAGAAATGTAACATCGATAAAACTAACTGCCAAATCAGAAAAAGAAATGACTTACACATGCTGATTTAGAAAAAAGTGCCAATTCCTGCAAGAAAATAATTTTGACATAGACAAACTAGTTTCAGATGCCTTCATCCCAGGACCACTGATTCGAACTGTGCATTTTTCTGTACTCGGAGCGAGGTTTTGCTTCTCATGCGGCCAAATTACCACGCGTGCCTGCCCCTGCCGGACGCATACTCACTGCGGTCCATGGCTGGGCCTGGCATCGGGCTGGGAGCTGGAGAGGCGCCTGGCAGAGCTGGTGACCCCAGGGCTCCAGCATATTTCTCAGACCAAGAGCTGTTCTCCCTTCCTGTCTCTACATGTGCTCTGAGAGTGGTGTTGAGGGTGGGAATGCCAGCATCCCCTGTGGCCGGCAGAGCGGTACCAGGACCACCTTGAGACTTGGCTTGAGGCACACCAAAAGCTGTGTGATTTCTAGCGGTAGCAAAGGCTGTTTGATTTGGAGACAACAGCAGTGGCGAACTGAGTTGCTCTTGCCCAGCTGCGCCCATGGGCGCATTTGTGAGAGCAGCCGCTCGCTGTGATGCACCGGGGGAAGCCTCTGTCACAGAGCTTTGCTGCGATGGAGTTACAGCTGCTTGCCGCTCTGCACTCACAGCAAGTTCCTTGCTGGCTGCAACCCCCATGGGGCTGTTGTCCCTGCCAAAGCCCATCTGTGGTTCCAGGCTTTTTCTCCAAGGGGCTGGAGGAGTGCTGGTGGGAGAACGACCGTGGGGCATTTGCTTGTCACCCACGGGCAGTGCAGCAGGGAGGTGTACAGCGGTGCTCGTCTCGGAGCCTACAGCAGCCACCATCTCGGTGGTGGCAGGGGAAGCAGGGGCTGTAGGGCTTCCTTCTTCAGGAGCAAATTCTGTGCTGTTTGTTACTTCAGGAGCCATTGTTTCAGTGAGAGGGTCCACAATCTCACCTGCAACACAGCAAACACACATTGAAATGGGACCTCAAACTGGATGAGGAGGCACCAGGGTCTGACCTAAAAACGGGGTTGAGACCGCTCAGCCATGTGTAATAGTGTTACAGAAACAGGTCTTGGATATTTCATTAACACATTGTAGCATATTTGATTTTAACAGTGTTGAATCTGGTTTGTGCCTACACAAAGAAGCAGATTTGATTCCTGGGTCTCCTCGTCTGGTTGGGAGGGCATGGATCATTACAGTGGGAGGAAATCAGCCACAGACATACCAAAAGAGGAAAAAGTACGTGTCAGGTTTCTTAGCAGTCAGTCATTAGGCTAATCAAGAAGGATCTCAGAGAGATTTAATCTGAAGACACATATAAGGTTCACCTTCATTTTCAGAGACAGATCATATATACTCCTTCAGCCAGAGACCGCAAAGGTGCATCTATATACACATTGTGTGCTATATAAACAGTTGCAATAAAAGCAGAGGTGGAAAACCACAACTTATTCCAACCTTTCATGGTGAAGAGAAACTACATGCCAGTCTTTTGCTCACCCTCACAGTTTCTTCCAGGTCGGGATGGATTAGTATCCATGGTTGTCTTGCATCTGCACAGGTACGAGCCCATCAAATTGATACACTCTGCAAACACAGAGCAGTCATTCTCGGTGTGAGAAGCACATTCATCCCAGTCTGTAAGACCAAAACCAGAACACTGGTCAGACAGCCTCCATTCTGGCTGCACTAAGCTAGAAATAATCATGAAGTAGTCCTTTCTTCAATTTTTGAATTTATGAATGTGGTCTTCCTTTTTCATCATTTACCTGACTGCCAAGCACTCAGTGATGCAGAACACTGTGTTGTTATTCTCTCACATAAAAATCAACCTTTGTCCTTGTACTCTGACATAGATTTTCTCCAGGTAAAGACTTTTTTTAATAATTTTTTTTAGAAGTAAATATTTATTTGAAGTGAAAAAAATATTGTAAGTTTGTACTATAGCCATATCGAAAGCATACATTATACCAAGTTCTGTGTACAGTACCTACTGATACATCAGGTAATGAATAGATCTGTTACCACTAGCTACCAGTAGAAAGAATATTAAATAAAGACTTAATCCAAATAATTTTCTGCTTCCAATAAAAAGTAAATGCAAGTAACTCCCACAAGAAGGACTCTTCAGTTCTTAACAGAGGAAGTGTTAAGGGCAAAAACTCTTTTTAGAGAAGATTTCTTCTCCAAGGTAATACTGTAAAACTGACCCTATTTCTGGCAGTCTCAGAAAAGAGATCCTGGTTCATCAGTGCATAAATATGCTCTAAGGGTGTTCCTTATGTCTAATTTCAGCAGCTCTGAATCATTTAGAGATGCTTCTTTCATGGAGTTATAGACCTATTTTATTGCCAAGTCTCTTCACTCTTGAGGGTTTTAGATCTGGAGTCTTATATTACCGTTCGCACCCTGTTCCAGCAAATGTGCAAAGACCAAGTTAATGCTTTGGACATGAATAATCTCATTGAATCCCATGTGAGCCCTCATTGTGTGCACTCCCTTGTGCATACACCTTCACTGCCTCAAGGCCGTAAAGTGAGGGAGAGCAGAAAACTAGACTCAAAACTGTGCCTTGGGACAAATAATTCTGATCACAGGCTAGAAAATTGTTTTGAACAATGCATTATCGTAAGTGCTCATTCTGCAAACATGCAGAGATTAATCACTGTGATTATTTCTCCAAAACAAAAGAAAGTCCCCTTCTAGAAACAGAAAGCACAGAGCAGGTGTGTGCATGCGCATACACGCATTCATCTTTCTGCTTGCAGACAGCCTTCCCCTTTTACTTCCTTCCAGCTAATATTTAAATTCTTTTTCCTTTCTTCCTCATTAGACAATTGTTTTATCCATGACTGTTTCCATTAGACAATTTCATGCACCTATGGCCAGCATCAGCCTATTATGTTACAGCCTTACACTTAGAGGGAATACAGAAGTATGCAGGACTGACTAAAGCATGAGCAATGAAAGTACTCTCCTTAATGCCTTACTATGCTGTGAGGTAATTGTGACTCTTGATGGCTTCAAACACCATCTGAGAGATGCTCCCACGCTAATTGTCAAATAACTTACATTCACTGGCTCCATTGTCTCTGAGAGTTTCCTTTCTCATCACTCAGCATGGCTTTTTAAGCAAATTCCTTCACCCCTGATGGCCATGTTCAGTCACGCATCAGGCCAAAACACTTGAGTTCTCTTCTCAGCGCTCACTGGCACTAGTACATCACTCATGCACATACATGCACACACACACTGCGCTTTTTTCCTCTATAACCATTATATCTCAGCCAAGGCATGCTCTGTGCTCTCTTCCTGCACTCTTGGCATCTCTCTAGCCTTTCATGCTTGGCAAGTGGCTTCCCCATATACACACCTCAACCAACAGTTCTACTCCAAGAGTTATAAAAAAACCACCTTTGTGTTCGCTCTGATTACCCATTATTCCTGTAAGAGGTACATGCAATGGGTAAAAATCTGTGAAATTCCTTGCCTAATGATGTTGCAGATGCTAAAGGTTTGCATGACTTCACGGGGAACCCATGGAGGAGAAACCCAAAGAAATCACTTTGGATTCAGGGAGTCCTGGAGCTGAAAATAGTTGGTGGCTAAGAGAGTTTTAGTGACAGGCATTGTCTACACTTGCCATATGCTGACACTTCTCCAGTAACTGGCTCCTGGCTGCTACTGAGGATGTAATATTGTGCTAGATGGATCTTGGACCTGACTCAGCACACGTCCCTCTTTCCTTACCATGCCTCACACAACAGACAGCCATTTTAGTGTCTCTATTTATCATGGCAGTAAACTTAATAATTTATGAGTCTACAAAGAGAGGTGTAATTGCTCCACTCCCTTCATTTGCACTATCCCTTCTGACTTCTCATCCTTGCTGTTTCGAAGTTGAATTCCCTGCTCTGACACTGTCATTAAACCAACCTTTTAGCCTTTTGGTGGCCAGGCTCCATGGAGGATTCAGGTGGCATTTCTCCACTGGCACAAGCTGTGTGGGCTTACTGCCAAAGGGCACATCCCAGGGCTCTCAGGGGTCAGGAAGCAATACAGCCCATTATACAAATCTTTCCTTCATGGACTGCACTCCTTGGCCTTATTTTCCACATTTGACTTTAGAAAACTCCTGTCAAACAAATGCTTGTTTGGGCAGACCTAAGAAATAGACCCCTTTTCTCTACCCCTAAGGAGGAGTTGGCTGTGCTCCTGGCTAAGTGTGATGCTACTGGAAGCCACCTCGCTTTCTGCAATTAAAGTAACAGTCCAGAGCTATTGCCTTCTTCCTCCCCACTCTTTCGGTCCCAGGATCAATAATGTTTGTAAAGTATTTTGGCACACATCAGCATTTTGCAATTCAGTATCTGCTACCACTGTGATATTTATAGGCTTCAGGTGCAATTTGTCTCTTCTGTTGTTTTCCTGCCCTGTTCCCCTTAACCTCCATATGCTCTGCAACTCCAGAGGGAGTTCTCCCTGATCACAGTAAATAAACTTTTAAGGGCTTAAGGCACTGGGGGAGAAGAATAACCCATTCTGTTGGCTTTGGCAACTCTCTGAACTCTGGCTGGATTTGCCAGCTGGGAAACCTGAAGCCAGAACTTAGTCCTTTGAAGATAAAAATGGTGATTACTGAAGATCAAACAAAGGCCTGGTTTAACATAAATTCCATACATTAATCCCATTCACTGAGAGGACATTTGGGAATTTCTCTGGCTGGATTTCTATAGTGAAGATGTTAGATTTCTTAAACCCTGGCCCAAATACAGCCCCACAGCCTTGAAGCACAAAACTGTCTAGAGGACATGTGTATGCTAAAGGCTACAAATATTCCACAGTAATCCTATCTGCAATTCAGTGCGAGAAAGATATGGCAAGCTTCCAACTGCTCGCAAGGAGCAGAGAGGAAAATTAATAGGGAAATCAAGGGCTCCACTCCTCCTTAAACACAGTGGAGTGAAGCAGTGCCTGCAGGTACCTGGGGAGAGCCAATGTTGCTTCTTCTGAAACCTTCTGGGCTTATGAGCAAAAGCCCATGGAGGAGTTCTCATGTCGTGGTTTTCCCTCCAACAAACCACTGTAAGCTCCACATGCTTTGTCTCTCTGTAAAGTATTTTGCATTAAAATGCTGGTGATACTGTGCGTGATCGAAATACAAACCCTGTTTTGTTGCTTGGAAACAAAATTTTTTAAAAAAATTACCTTCTATTGCAGTGTTTTGCTGATCCACCAAAAGCGCAGAGCCATTGTACAGGTGAGAAAGCACCAGGGCAAACGTGGAAGCATCGACTGGGAACTCGGGGTCCTGCACAGTGATTCTGAGCCTCACAATGATACTTCCAGCTTGCAGGGATTCGGTCTGCACTTTCAGCTTCCCAGATTTGTATAAAGCAGAAATGTTGGCTGGAAATGAATTTTCAAGCTGAGCAAAGGGAGAGAAGCATCGACAATTAGGAACCCAACAGGAATAGCTCCTTTATAACTGAACTATGGTGGTACCATTTTAAAGATTTATATAAGCTCAATGTAGAAAATGTTGTAAAAAGAAAGGTTTCAAAGTATTTCAGAAATCTTAATTTTCAGAGATTACTGAGGCAAGGAGAAGTGTGAGTCTCCTTGGTGCATCTAGGTACCCTTGAAAATGGTACCCATCTGACCACTGGTCTTACAAAACAAATTTCATTTTGGCTCAAGGGAGCATAATTCCTTCTGCTCCTGTTTGCATGCATCACAGCTGAATTGGTCCGGTAAGTCTGCATGCATCAGACCCTTGATGTTAGCTCTGTATGTCATGTGAGCTTTTTGTCCCAAGCCTCCTATATATTCACCTCTGCACTCCCAGACCCTGGAACTTGGTCATCTCCACTATTGCTGGAGCAGACTCTGGCTTGATTTTGGCTGCTACCACCTAGCAGTCCCCCAGGCAGTACCCAGGCAGAGTCACCAGGGACCAGTCCCAACAAGTAATCTGAATGTGACCACCGAACTTTGGAAGACCCAGCCACATGGATGCAGGCTGGTTTGTGCCAATCGGTGTCAGTGTCAGAGTGGTTCAGGAGGTTTCATTTACCAGTATGGGCATAGCTTTAGCTCCCAGGGAACTCACCAGTCCAAGTCCAGCCTGCAGCCAAGTCTAACAACAAAGAAATCTCAGGATGAGAGACAAGAAAAATGGGGGTGGATAACTTCAAGAAAATGTGTTTGAGACAGCCCACCTTCAAGGAAATATCACAATTATGGTTGATTACCAATCCAGTAAGTAGACACATCAATTGAACAAGTGGTGTTACTCTGAACATTAAAGCTGGCATACTGCTGTTGATATTTGAGCTGTGCAGGAGTTGGCAGTTTTGCCTTACATCTCTAGAAGGCATCTCCGTGCTTGAGCCTTTTGTTCCTACATACACCTCAAAGCATGCCTTTGAGCATGCAATGCAGCACCATAAAGCAACACAGCTTTGTTCCCATTCAGCCAGAGTGTGCTCCAAAAATTCCTACAAACAAGCTGTTTAACTAGTCTAAGTTCAGATCAGGGTGGGGAGGCAAGAAAAAGAGAGGAGAGAGGAAATGAGGGGGGGATGTTGTGCTCCCAATCTCTCAAGGAGGCAAAAGCAACATGGATGGTCAACGCTCCTTTTCCTTCCCAACATCGTGACGCCAATTAGATCTGCATTAGTCTCAGAGAAGATTCAGTGACAAAAATCCTCATGCACAACAAAAGCAAACAATTTGAAGCTATGGGAAATAAAACCATGTCAGAAGGTTCAACTTGCAATTTCACATAAGCAAATGCCTCTTCTGTGCTGCCTTTGAAAGTATAGCTCCATTGTGGTTTTTTTCCTCAGATTTATATTCACATGTGTTTATGAGTCCCCCTTTGTTTTGGGAAAGTCTAATTTTGGATGGAGAGTCCAATTCCTCTGTATGGACCCTGTTCTCTACAGCCAAACTGTAAGAGATTGCTGCATCTGAAACACACCCGCCCTGTTTGGGAAGCTGAGAGCTGGTAACAGACTTCATGACTGAAGTTTTCTTTATGGCTGGTTACATCTGAACATGGACAGTCGCTACATGTGTGCATGTAATGAACTGTGCTGGAGAAGAAAGCCTGACCCGGTCACTTTTCCTTTAGAAGAAAGACATTTGATAGCAGTCAGATGTTTATTGAGAAGACAGTGCTGAAATGAATGCCAGCAATGTCATTTCAATAATCCATTAAAAAGCCTCAAGTCAATTTAGTGTGAGTTTATTGCCAAACTAAAGATCCAAGGAAAGGAGTCCCTGTTGCATGCCTGCATTTTTAATTCCTTTACTCTTCTGTAGGGGAAAATTTTCATTGGCTCCATTGTTAATAAGGCCAAGGGTTTGATCTGTTTAGTCAGTTGAATTTTGTTTTAATTATAAAGAAAGGTCATAGGAAAGGGTATGATGATTTTCAGGGGATATTCCAGCCAGGCATAAAATCCTGTATTACATTAAATAAATTCTAAATTGAAAAGAAAATACATTACACACAGATATTTTAGCATTACCTCTGTAAGCAACAGTCTTGAAAATTCTTCATATGCTGAGCTGCTGGCGTTATGGAAATCATCAGTGAAGTTGTAGTTGAGAATCCTCAGAGTAACACCAAATATCTTGGCCTCTGTAGGACACAATATTAAAACACAGACTGATAAAGCAAAAGAGGAAAGGATTCAGTCAAAACTGATGTACCCAGACCAAAATCTCAGATGATGGAGGGAAAAGGGTTAGGAAAGTTTGGTGTTAAACCAAGAAAATAAAGCCAATATTCTACTACAAGCTTCCTATACATTGAGGAGATGCACATACATCTGGTCCATAAAAATATTTAGATGCCTAATTACAACTGCATGAGAACTGGGTATACACATATCCTTGTGGACCTGACCCTACATAACTCCTGCATTTGAGTTACATGCAGGGTTGAATTGTCTGTGAGCTCATCTCTGGTCCACCAGTCACAATTACTATTTTTATCCTGATCTTGGTAGTGTGGATAGTATGACTGAAAACAATAACAAAAACCAGTGCATGCCACTTCTCTGTCTGGTGAGCCCTGGCAGATAACGTACAGAGCACATGAGCCAAAACCAAGAGCTAAGGAATCTATTAACCACTTCAAACAATCTGGGGCTGTTACTCTTTGGACTGAACTTTGGACATTTCTTTTTCTCAGGGGCTCCAACTTCATTCTCTGAAGTTCAGCCCCCTGTTTCTGTAACCAATAGACCTCCTACTTGCCCTCTACAATGGGAGTAATTTCCCTCTGAACCAAACTGAATTCATCCCTCATCTGATCAAAGGGAAGCCTCTTATGGATAAACATAAACAGGAGCATTCTCACTGTGGCCAGTATTAAATAGTTCACTGTCTGTTTTTTTAAGATATTTGCATGAAGGCTTAGGAAATAATTCAAGGATAAAGGAAAAGCAAAACTATGTTCAATCAACACAGCAGGGTCTTAGGGAACTAATATCACTAAATAATAAATAATTGAATAAAATTATGCAGGTATTCTGCAAGCTTTCTTACACAGCCCTTGCTATTCCCTTTAATCCTGGTAATTCATAAATATTCAACTGAATCTGGCCTTCCTCTGGGCACTCTTGTTAGCTCAGCTGAGCCCTTGACAAACCAGTTGACTGGATTTCTCCCTGGCCACAGCCGTCAACCAGGAAAAATGGGGCCTGATGGGAGATGGGTGGCAGCAGAATGCAGTGCCAGGCACCCAAAAAAAAAAAAAAAAGAAAAAAGACAAAGTATTCTAGCTTAGTCTGAAATCTGTAACAGTCTGAGTCAGCTCCAGCACTGCTGTATCAACTCAGGCCAGAGTTCTGCTGCCTGATACTCTGGATTGCATAAATGCTGGGGTAGAGGAGAGAATAAGTGCTGAAGGGGGTGGAATATGGAATTCAGGGAGGACCAAATGGATCATTGTTGAACTGCAAGTGAGTAGGGAGGAAAGGGGGGTGGGGAGTGGGGAGAGAGATCCTTTTTTTTTTTTAAGTAACTATTTACCTGTTTTGACATTTTGATGGAAGATGCTAGTTTTTCCACAGGTTTCATAGCTGATCTCTACTGAATACATTACACCTGCTTCCAGTCCAGACACATCCATTTTCATTTCCTCTGTCTTCAAGTTTTGTATAATCTCTTTGCCCTTGAACACTTGGACTTGGAACGTGTGGTTCAAAGTAGAAGTGACGTGCCAAGACATTTCGAAACTGTTGCTGGTAACGCTGAAGATTTGGTGGTTTCTAATTGCAGAGGGATCTATCACAGTCCCAGGAAGACTCATCAGAGAAAAATCAGCATTTCATGTTTAAAGCATTGTGCTATTCTAAATCCATTAGAGCACTCTGACAATCAGTAGGGGAAGCTCCTTTTTACATTACATCAGGACAGATTCTGTCCCTCTCACAGTACCAGGTACCCTCATCCATGAACAATCCCATTAGGGTGATTAATTGGGTGCTTACTCTTTTTATTTCCTTTTACTATACTTATTTGTGTTGAATCTCTAGTAACACTAATAATCAGCCAGTGAGCTACAGGTTCAAGCAACAGAAGTAAGTTTGGAATAGTCAGTCTGTGTACCCTACATATGTTGACACCTGCTATGCCTCTTGTCACTTTAATCATCAAAATGCACCTCTTCAGGCAAAGGCTGCCTTGATTTATGCCTGGAAAAACCCCACAGACCCCAGCTTTTACAGGCTGGGGGCAGAGTGGTGGGCAGCAGTGCACCTATTTATGCCATTCTAGTCCAGTGCAATCGTTGCCACATCAATGGGAAAAGACAGGAGCCTTCAGAGATGATCCCTCTCCTCAAAGGAGGAGGAGGTGTCTAAATTGGGTAGGATTAATTGCTCTCCAGCAGAGCCTGTGTGTCTCCACTAACTAGAAAGAGAGCCCAGAGTAGACACCTCTCCTGTAGACAGCTGGGGTCAGGTGAGATGAACACCATTCCCCATGCTAACCTAGAGACCGTGGCATGTTGCTGCCACAACTTCAGTTCTTTCATGCTAATAGCTAGCCTGAGAAAGAAGTTTGTTTTCTTAAATTGTTTCAATAGGGCACACTTGTTTCCAGGCCTCTGAGCCAGGTGGCTGCCAAACGCCCCCAAAGCAATACTGCCCCTGCTCCAGAGGGACTTCAGTTTAATTCCTCTAGCTTCAGCTTGGATTAGAAGTTCTGGATGGAGATCAAGAATATCCAGCCTGTCTCTCGGAACTAGGCAAAGAATACTTACAGCTATTTCCTCCCACAAGAAGAACAGGATGCTGTTATAAAAGCATTGTGACAACTCTCACCTTGAAAGGGCTGAAGTCACCCATATAAAGACAAATCTGCTGGGGTTTGTTCCCACCGTAGTCCCTCAGACAGCTATCATGTATAGCAGGGAGAGTATTCGCAAAGGCTAAGTCCAGTGTAGAGTAGCTTTGGTCAACCTACCTGACTCATGTCCCCCACCAACATCTTCACAGAGGCGAAAGCAAGAGGCCCGCATCCCAGTGGCTGTGGCCAGGAGGAGCTCCTGTGGTTGGTAGCAGATCCTCCCATACCTTGTTCCAGGACAAGCCTGGGACATGCAGTAAGCTGGGTCCAGGGCGAGTAAGTGGTGGTGGCCTTGCACAGCCCTCACCAGCGGGCTTCTTGCGCTGGAAGATTATCCAGCACAAGCCCTATGATGGGACCTGCACTTGAATGGTTCACCAGGCACAAGAGGGTCAAGAAGCCAGTACAGCCACCTCCATTTCCAGGAGGCCAGTAGCCATGGGAATAACAGTGGGGCTTCTCCAGTGGTCACAGCACTGCAGACCCCAATTCAAATGTCCTGTTGGGGGACCCTCTCTCTTTCAATTTCCATTCACTCCAAAATCATTACCAGCTTCTGTGAACACCCTCATGTAACTCAACCAGCCCCAGGACAAAGGGATCAAAAAGTGGCTGAATTAAAAGCAAGACAATATTCATTCAAAGCCAAGGTTACTTACAGCACCCAGCATCTGTAGCTTGGTTAGTCATGGACAAGAGACTTGAATTACTTATAGACGGAGAGCTATTGCTAATGTTAATGAGATCCAATGCTGAACTTGGAGTAGATGCTGCCATGCCTAGGAGAAAAATAGTATTATCAAAGAGTTAAAGCGTTCCTAACAAAGCAAGTCCAAAATAATACCATTAATGTTTTCCACAGCTGAAAAGCAGCAACAGAAGTAATATAAATAGAAGTGAAAATAAACGTATTATCATATCACAAAAGCATAAAGTAATACATTATCTTAATTTTTGAGATTAAAGGATTGTAAATTTGTTTTCTAACTAAAGCATTGAATCTATGAGCACTTATTTATCTCATTATCTTTAAGCCTATTAGCGGGCCCATTGATGTCTGCGGGCTGTAAGTACATGCCCTATATTTTGCTGAACTGGTACCGCAAAATATTATTTCACCCATTGCCAAACTCCGTCTGCCTCCAGCAGAGGACTCTGTATAATCCAGGGTGGGATTACACAACCACTGAGTCCCCGCTGCAGTCACACAGTCAAAATGGGAAGGAGAGTTCATGTACAAATAGTGTCACTAATCATATTTCCCCGGGGGCTGGGGAGGTGTACTGACACTGACTTTGCTCTGAGAAGCACTCAGGGTTTGAAGCTAGAGGGTTTGGCAGGTGAGTGAGGACAGCTGAGGGTGAGATAGGAGAAAACTGCCAGGTACTCTGAAATATATACACTGCATTTTAATCAGAAATAGCTAATAGCTGGCTTATGTGGCATCTTCTCCCAATAGGAGGAGAAGGGGCACTGTGTGCTCCAGAAATCTTTGCCTTGCAGGTGGCTCCTGCGATAGTCCTGCGGAAGCGTTCTCAGTATTTCCCAAGGTGAGACCTAGCTTCTTACCTTCCTTTCTTGGGCTCAGCTGGTGAGGGCTGACATCTCCGTGTCTTTGTTGAGGGTCACAGCTGTAATAACCCTCCAGATTTACACAGGTGTTTTTCTCAGGACAAGTGTTGAATTCAACATAGGAACACTCATTGACATCTATGAAGAACAACACACCTTGCACAGATATTGACAGCAGCATCAAGACTGATCTGCAATGTGTGTAGACTAGGCTCTGGATATGATAAATTCAGTGTAAATCTGCAGTAACTCTGCTGAAGCAATTCGGGGTGTACATGGGTGCAATGAAATCAGAATGCTGCCCGTCCCTGAAACTAGCCCCCATTCAGTTATAACCGTACCACTTTTTACTCCAGTTCACTGGAATAAGAGGACAGTTAGTGGCAGCTCTTTCTTACAGTTGCAGGATGTCATCCAAACCTAAGAGGTGTCAGCGGCAGAGCAAAGGAGATCTACCCAGTGATTTCACTGAAAGTTGGACTGAGTTTTCAAAAGTAAACACAGAATAAGAAATCATAACAGTGCTTACGGATGCATTTCAGGAGTGAAGATGTTCGGATAAATACACAGTAATAAGTCGATTAAAATAATTTACACCAAATATACTTAAATATTTACCTAGCATTTAAAAAGTAGGTAGTAATACACTACAGTAGTTAACACTCTATAAATACTCTTTGTTTCATGCAACCTACTGGAAGTAATACATGTCTATAAAAACAGACTAAATCTGTTTCCCAAGAATACTTTAAATACTTTTTTTAAGAGCCTGTTTAATACAACTAATGACTGTGCTACAAATTTTGAACACCTTTGATTTTTCATATGAAGATGATCTATGCTATGCTATTAGGAGAAAATAAACTTAATTGAGGAAGGAGGAGTATTCCCCTCCAAACTATTCACTCCAGAATAATTATTAACTAACTACAACTCTCTCCATCCTATAATGGATAGGTTAGGGACATATTTGCAAGGTTTACAAGATTCAGTACGCTATTTTTGAAAGCAAATTGATAGTCATACAGATGAAATCCCTAGTGAAGATGGATGAAGCCGCCTGAAAAAGCTTCCCCCCGTGACAGGATTATAATAATTAACCTTGCACTTCTGTGTCAATCACTTCATACACACGCTTCACAATGTCCTTCAAGGAAGAAGAAACTTCTGCTAGTGGAACTGGCTGATGCAGTCCAATGAGAACCTGGGAGGCCACTGTCCCAGTGTATACTTCTGCACGGTTACTCTGGATATGGTACACAGAGGCACTCAAGGGCTGTAATGCACCAGTAATCTGGAAAACAGGGGAACAAACACTTTGGTATCTCATTTCTTTATCAGCACAACTGTATGCCAATGAGGCACAACCAATGCAGCGATCATCATCATAATCTGAGTGTAGAAAGCACCAGTTCAGAAACCATAGCAAAGTGGCAACATTTAGGTCTGTATTTATGCAAGGTGAGCTCTTCTAACTACCACATTTTGCAGCAGAGTTACAGGACAGTAATGCCAAGCTAAGGGAGGTGTGGAGCATCGTGTCAGATCTCAAATGCTTAGGCAGGAGGATGCAACCCAGGAAGATAAGGAAGAAGTCTCTTTGGCTTGTAATGTTTAAACATCAATACCTCAGTAGACAGAATATACTTTAGACATGCTATTACAATTCATCTGTAATAAAGCTATCCAACACTTCTTATTTCAAGCAACTAAAAAGACTGCTGGCAAAGGGAATAGAAAGATAAAGAAGAAAAGCAAGAGACGGAACAAGAAGGCTGGGAGTAAGAGACACAGAGAGACCCCAGGACTGACCAAGCTGTCACAACTGTGAGTCAGGGATCAGACAAGGAACACGGTGGTGGGCTGATCATTAGGAGTCAGTGGGGCAGACAGGGCCTGGAAGACATTCCTCTGAGTAGCAGCTCACTGCAAAGCTTCAGTTTATATTTCCTATTTTTTGCGTGCTTGACTTTGCCATAACTTGCTTTAGACCAAGATATGAAAGTCTTCATAGATCACTGCCCTCTATTCCTTACCATACAGCAACAGGACCAGGGTTTCGAACTTTTTTAGGATATGAGAACCATGAATTCAGGTAGGAGGAAGAAGTAAATTCATGCAACGTCCCCATACTGCTGCTACCTTGTATTCTTCCGCCTGTCAGTGCCAGTTGATGATGGGAGAAGGGTTTCCTTTGCTACTAGCCCACTTCCAGCTGGAAACTGAGAAGGACTAGAAATAAAAATGGAGGGAAACAGGGAACTGACCTCTTGGGTACCTTTCAAAGGCCACATCCAAGCCTGGTTTTCTCCATGGCATGGTGATATGTACTAGGGAAATGCTTCAGGTTTATGGCCTGGAGGGTCTTTGTCCTAGTTCAGCAATCCATTTCCTAAATACCGCTTAGAGGACAGAGCAAGCCCCCCTGTCTAAGCGCAGCTTTAGTTTGCAGCCTGGTTCTTCCTGCGGACCCTCCTTTCGGGAAGTGTGCCTCACCCCTCTACTAGGGCTGTGTTTGTCTTGGTTGCTTCAGACTCTTCCCACTTGCCATGTCGGGGATAGGGAGAGGCACGCCATGCTGCTGTCACGTGGCCGTGCACACGTTGCTGCCAATGCTGCTGCTAACACATGCACAAGGCACAGCCTTGGTCCTACAGCAAAAGCAACACCCTGCTGTCTCCTCCAGCACTGCTTCTGTGGCAAGAATGACAACAAAATGCCCTTGACCCAGAAACAGTCCCCTGCCATAATCCTGGGGTTTCACAGTGAAACTTCTGGTGCTGCTGAGCCCACCTGCCATGTAGATCCCAGTGCCGTAGATCAGGTTTGTGTCTTGAAAGGTTTAACTCAAAACTCCTTATCAGAAAACATCATGCTTTGCAGGTCTTGAAATCCAGACCCTGTTGGTCATAAACCCAAAACTGAACTGAGCCGGAGCTGGAGCAAGCAATTCATAAGCAGGAAAAAACCCTATATTTCAGAATGTCTTTAAATTGCCCTCAGAAGAGACCTGAAGAATTTACTAAAGAAGCTGATAAATCAATGTTACTTGAGCTCCTTGAGGATGAGGCTGACATTCACCAATTAAGGATAAATTACGGCCCCAAAAAATTATCTGGCGGAACAGAGGGGCAGCGACTGCCTGGCAAGGTTATGTCCAGCACAGAGGACTACGAGATCCCTCCTGGGCTGGAGCAAGTGATGGTTACTGAGTAACAGAAACATGGACACAACGAGCAACACACAGGAGCATTTATGTTTATACGTACCATAGAGTGCAAAAGGCGTGAATGATTCAGAAGGTGGGAATCCACTCTGATTAATTCATTAAAATCCATTTTCACAAGCACTGTCACATTGTACCAGAATGTTCTTCCTGAAGCGTACAAAATAAAAAAGCCAAGTCATCTCAGGTCTGATGCTATAGAAAGCGACAGAGCTACAGGAAGGCTCTGAGAAACCGAAGCAAGCTTTAACTCGGCAAATATGAAGGGCCGACGTACAGCCATCGGCTATGGCCTCATTTGCCATATGCCGCAGGCAGGGACACCAGCGAAGGAGAAAAACCTGAGCAAGGTCCACTGGACCCGCAGCACCCGTGGTTCAGCGCTCATGGGTGCAAGTACTGGAAATGAATATCCTGGAATTGATCCAAGGCAGATTTCCGTATTTGTTTTATGAAGAGCTATGGTAACAATTTTCCTGACCACTCCCACCCTCAGAAGGAAAAATTAAGCATATTTCTATTAGAAGCAGTGTTGAGTTTATCAGTAACATACCCTCTGGCATTGGATCCACGCAGCCTGCTCCTTTGGATGAGTTGCAGCATTTTTTAAGCCCTGGACATTCAGTATCGAATGTGCAAGTATAATCAGATGTTTCCATATTCTCCATTGGACAAATACCAGGTCTTGAGGCAAATACACTGGATCTATTGAGTGCTAAGAATAAAAACATTTCTGAGAACAAAAATATAGAAAATTGTTTCCACAAAATTGTGCTATTTAATTTACAGCAAACACCTCCTCCTCATTTTAGAAGTGCATCTGTTCTGAGATTTTCATGGGGAGAACAGAGCAGCCTAAAATACCATTATTTCATTTCAAGAGTATAAATGTTCTCAGATTTTTATCATCTCGTTCATGACATTTCTGTTACAGAAATTTTGAATTTATAATTTTCCATTAACAATTATGGGTGGATAGATAGATAGATTGTTTGGTTTTTTGTTTGTTTCTGAATGTGGAGACATTGAAGCACTGCAAAACAGAAAATGTGCCCGATCTCAGATGACTAATCCAAGTAATATACAATGATCAAAGGAAACAGGTAATGTCTAAGCTAGAAATCGGGAGTTTTCATTTAACCTTTTGTTGCAACAAAGGTAACCTTTAGTTATAGTAATTGAAGACGTTATGTGAGAGTGGAGACAAAATGCTGTTCTTGGGTACAGTTCAGTGGGTTACAGAGAGGGGCAGGAGATCAGAACTGAGCCCGTCGTCTGCAGCCTGGCAGCACCTGCTCCCTATCAGCCAGCCAGCCAGCCCAGGAGGTCGGTAGCCCATGCCTGACAGCCCTGCAGAGAGGGCAGCTAAGGCAGAAGGTTACCACATCCCAAGCCAAGGGCAGATGATGGTCCTGGCTCAGTGCCAGCACATATTCTTCCCTGAAGGAAAAGAGAAAATATTTCTAAGCTCTATGAACACTGCTTTCACCCATGCTCTCAAACACAGTGCCAAGTAATGCTCAACGCTAGTCTTTCCAATCAACCTAAAAGATTTCTCTTTTCTATTCATTTTATGCCTACAGGTTTTTGGTCCTACAAAATCTTGATTCGTTAGTGGGCAATTAAAGTCATCGACTGGACATGCAATCATATTTGCGTAAAGAAATAGCCTATTAAGACCAGTGGTTTTAAGACTGTGGTTTGTGTTTTTTGAGGGGGCCAAAGTATGCTTGTCAAGGGTCTCTGAAAGGTAATTAAGAAAAGTAAGCATAGCTTAACGATGGGGGTCCACACCTCCACTGAAAAACCTGCCAAAACCCACAAGCTGGAGAACATTGCACTGAGTTGAGACCTCTCAGCAGCATGCAGGTTCCTTGCATGTGTAATTTCAAAGATTTGCATGCAGAATACATGGGACAGCACTTTCCCACACTCTTCTATAACAATACACTGTGTGTGCGTATTTTGTGTGCACACAGTCAATGAGCACAAGCTTTAACAGGGCTGTGAGTATCTTTCAGGTAGAGTTGGTGTTAGACCCACAAGAGCTCTGGGCAGCAAATTAGGAAACTCTATCCCCACCCCTGACCCCAATGAAGGGCTGGCTGCCCTACAGGGAGAAGGATTTGTCCTGCTACCTAATGCAGCCTAGTGTGGGCCCTTTCATGCCTGCAAACCAAGGGCCCTTGCCCTCCTTAGTCTTCCCCAGGACCAGCTCTGCCTCCAAAGTTCATTTTGAGTCATAGGCATAGGTTTGCAGTGGGAAGACAAAAAAAAAGGAAAAAAAACCCAAAACCCTGCTCAATCTTACTTAAGTTACTTCTGGGTCCAGCAAGACCCAATAGTCTTATTCTGCTTCCCAGCATGGTCCAGGAACCTCTGCTTCTGGCTCTGGGGTGGCACTATGGGCCATTCTCCCAAATGGGTCCTACTGCTAGAAAGCCTCTTCCCTATTTCTAGTCTAAAGCCACAATAATGTGTGATACACGCCAAGTTGCCCTTAGATGAGTCCCCCACACATTCCCAGTCTCACGCGATTGCTCCATCCCAGCCTCCCACGCAGCCTCTCACACCGGGAGCTTGCACAGACATGAGCACCAAGGGATTTCCCTGTGTTAATATGTCACTAGTGCTCCTTACTATTCAAACCAGGTGGATCTTGGTAAGCTTGACACAAGCATCTAAATCCCTCCAGCTCTGAGTTTCAGGTGCTGTTCAAGCAGGTTTGAGGTTCAAAGCAGCTTTTTCCATCTGGGTATTTTTTTGGCATGTTTAACTGTGGTGTAAAAGATTTAATGAGTCACATGCAATCTCAGAAAACACTATTGAATCCTGGCTGAGTGCCACACTAGCCATTTATCTAAAATCAAAAGGTCATCATTTTCGCATCAGTGGAAACGGATGGATTCACATCACATTTCTGCCTAATTGTACAGATGCACTTTGAAAATTCAATTTATGCTCTCCACTTGAATCATCTTGGGGACAGTCACCTACCAAGCAACACTGACAGCACTGGGGAGCAAGCCAGCCAACTCCCCTGTCAGTCACATAAAGTACAGGCTTCTCTCCTCCATTATTTGTACAAACGTACAGAAGTAGAAATGCAGTACCCAGTGCTTAGCAACGAAAGCTCAGTTACCAGCCTGCCTGCATGAGAGCTGCCGGGTCTGCTGTGACAGCAGGATGGGGGCATCTCCCCGAAGACAGATGCTGAGGGACAACAATAGCTCAGCTGTAACCCCCTCCCTCTCTCTCCTTCCACCTGGAGGGGCTGGGTTTCACCCAGAGGGTGCAGGAGACACAGGGACCAAAACTTTGCATCTGTCTCAGGCATCAGAAGGTGGAGACAAATCTATGATATTATAGAAAGAGCTCCTGGCAAAGCCTGTTACAAAGGCAGACTGACAGTTTTCATCACATGACCCCATTTGGGGGGTCTTTGAGCATTGCTAGACTTTACCTGCTCAGATGGATGTTTTCCATCCCAATTGCCTGTCCAGGGGTTAACCGGCATGGAGGGCATGTGCTGGCTCAGCATTTGACAAATATTTAATACCTTTCCCTGAAAAGAAATATCATTCACTAGAACATCTTCAGGAGCCATAAGCTGAAATTCAGCAAGGACACAGGTGTCGGACAATGGAGGAACATGGCCTTCGAAGCACAAAATCAGTCTGTGCATGCTCAGAATAAACTTAATGAAATTTAGCCACTGCCACCTCCAACCAGTTCATCCCACCATCAGCACCACAATGTGGTCGTGCTCTGCCCTGTCGGCACTCACACTGGCAATCAGTGGAGAGCTGGCAGAGGCCCCTGGTGAGCTCACAGCTTGGATGCAACTCTGGGTACCCCTGCTTCCCTTGGGGCCTGCTGGCAACAGATGGGGTACACCTGTCTCAAAGGGGGAAAAGGATCTTTGCATAGGACTTAGCAGGGCTCGTTGAAAGAGCTTTAAACTAGATTTGAAGGGGGAAAGGGATAAAACCAGGCTCACTAGAGATAAGCCTGGGGACACCACGCCAATGTTTGAGGGACAGTGCGCTAGCAAGATCCTTCGGTCTGCCATCTCAGTGGAGGTAGGGGATGGTGATCCACATGGCAGCAAAGATGCAAGGGTTATTGATGTGTTAGAAACCACAGAAGCACCTGAGAATGGTCGCATAGGAATTAGGTCTTCTCCCCCAAAAAAGGTGGCAGGATCAGTAGCCCAACTGACGTGCAACTATACCCATGCACGCAGCATAGGCAATAAACACGAGGAGTTAGAAGCCATTGTGCAGCAGGAGAACTATGATATAGTTGCCATCACAGAAACATGGTGGGGTGACTCGCACAACTGGAGCACTGCAATGGATGGCTATAAACTCTTCAGAAGGAATATGCAAGGAAGGAGAGGCGGTGGGGTAGCCCTGTATATTAGGGAATGTTTTGACTGTCTAGAGCTTGACAATGGTGATGAAAGGGTTGAGTGTTTATGGGTAAGAATCAGGGGAAAGGCCAGCAAGGCAAGTATGGTGGCAGTCTGTTATAGACCACTCAACCAGGATGACGAGATGGATAAAATATTCTATGCACAGCTGGGAGAAGTCTCATGATCACTAGCCCTTGTTCTCGTGGGGGACTTTAACTTACCAGATGTCTGCTGGAAATACAATACAGGAGAGAGGAAACAGTCTAGGAGGTTCCTGGGGTGTGTGGAAGATAACTTCCTGACACAGCTGGTGAGTGAGCCAGCTAGGGAAGATGCCCTGCTGGACCTGTTGTTTGTAAACAGAGAAGGACTTGTGGGTGATGGGATGGCTGGAGGCCATCTTGGGCACAGTGATCATGAAATGATACAGTTTCTCATTCTCAGAGAAGTAAGGAGAGGGGGTCAGCAGAACTGCTACTTTGGACTTCTGGAGGGCAGACTTTGGCCTGTTTAGGAGCCTGGTTGACAGATTCCCTGGGGAGGCAGTCCTGAAGGGCAAAGGAGTCCAAGAAGGCTAGACATTCTTCAAGAAGGACATCCCAAAGGTACAGGAGCAGGCCATCCCCATGTGCTGAAAGATGAGCCAGTGGGGAAGAAGACCAGCCTGGCTGAACAGAGAGCTTTGGCTGGAACTCAGGAAAAAAAAGAGAGTTTATAGCCATTGGAAGAAGGCACAGACAACTCAGGAGGATTACAGGGATGTCGTGAGGTTATGCAGGGAGAAAATTAGAAAGGCCAAAGTCCAGCTAGAACTTAATCTGGCTAGTGCCACAAAAGACAATAAAAATGTTTCTATAAATACATTAACAACAAAAGGAAGGCTAAGGAGAATCTCCATCCTTTATTGGATGCGGGGGGAAACATAGTGACAAAGGCTGAAGAAAGGGCTGAGGTACTTAACACCTTCTTCACCTCAGTCTTTAATAGGAAGACCAGTTGATCTTGGGGTACCCATGCCCCTGAGCTGGAAGACAGGGATGGGGAGCAGAATGAGGCCCCCATAATCCAAGGGGAAATGGTTAGTGACCTGCTACAGCACTTAGACACACGCAAGTCTATGGGGCCAGATAGGATCCACCCAAGGGTACTGAGGGAGCTGTCGGAGGAGCTTGCCAAGCCACTCTCCATTATCTATTAGCAGTCCTGGCTAAACAGGGAGGTCCCAGTTGACTGGAGGCTCGCCAATGTGAGGCCCATCTACAAGAAGGGCCAGAAAGAGGATCCGGGGAACTACAGGC